AATCACTACTCGTTAAACGCTCACTTGTTCCGTGTTGAGCTGGGGGACAGTAATCTCTGTGAATGTGGACAAGGTTACCAGGACGCAGATCACATTATTTGGTCATGTGCTGAGCACCGTGGAGTCAGATCCGAGTTGTACGATTCCCTTCGGGCTCGAGGTAGACAACCTAATGTTCCAGTTCGGGATATTTTGGCTAGACGCGATCTGGAGTTTATGCAACTCATATATGTTTTCTTGAAGAATATTAACCATAGATTGTAAGTTTGATTAACCTTGTGTTTAGTTTGTGTTTTGTATGTGTGTGTGTATTTTTTTGTAGATTTGTTTCTGTAATAATTGTATAATTACAGAGTTGATATAACGTCGATAGGATTAAGTATATGTTTTAGAAATAGTGAAATTTTTTAATCATAAATCATATTCCAAATCTCCTTTTCCCTCTCCCGATCCAAACAATTGTCATCCAATAACCTCGAGAAGACCGCGAGTAATCGGTTCCAATCCTTTAATTTTTGATTTAAGACATTCATAATGTATAAAGAAAATGATAACTTGGCTCTGTAAAGTTTATTCGATTGAGCCTGTATAAATAAAGTAATTAACAAAAAAAAAATTACCAACAGAAAACAAATAAAACTACAAATATTTTCTTGAATTTCATACATTTGTTTTACTTTTCTCATTACTGCGTATTAAAGAGTTTGAAAAATTATTGTTTTACATTCTGATGGTTCATTAAAAATTCCAATCAAAGATTAAAACAAATTAAAAAAAAAAAAAAAAAAAAAAAATGATCGCGCATGATTTTGACCGATTTTGGTTAAGGTAAAAAAAAAACAGTGTATCATTCGATGTTTAGTTATGCGCACATTTTATAAATCATTGAAGTTTTCATGTCATAAAATTAGCTCCCCCGAAACCAAATGCTGGCTACGGGCCTGGTGAGGGATGCTCCATAATTTCAAGAAAGTAAAGGTTTCCAAACCGATTTAAAAACAATTTTCATGTTTTCATTAATACCTACGGATTTGGTAAACATACCAACTTTATTTTCAGCTATTATAATAATTTAAATAAAATTGTATTTTTTTTTTCTATAATTATTTCAATCGGGGATTTAATCAAACGCTTTCCACTTATTCGTTATTGACGCTGAATTGAGCGTAATTTTCATCCACCACTTGATGCATGTAAAAACAAAGGATAGTTCACCAGTTGTTAATATGATATCATTGTTGTGATTCTCCGATTGAGGCTAAAAATCAAGCGAGATATCAAATCACAAGAGAATTCAAAGTTGGCGGCCACATTGAGTTTCGAGAACCACATTCGCCACAGCCCAACATGTTCCGGTAGTCCCCGGGAATATATCGATTGATTTCCGTTATTTAGGAGATTTTCAGCCGCTCCCCTTTGCCATTTTCTGTACACCACACTGCAGAAAAAGCTACCAACAAATAACGTACTTCTATCACAGTGCCACCACTGCACCCAGCCTGGCCGATAAACCACTTGTTTCCACGTGAATAATTTAGAAACTTGACCACTTGAGCTGGGCCGTCTGGCGACTCCGTAAGCTGCATGGAACCAATCGAACAGCGAAGTTAAAAAAAATCACATGAAAGTGCATGAATTTTACATCGATTTACACAGCAAGTACCATAGTGGTTAGTTTTACGAAAAAACCCGTCTCGATTAACTGCGTCTGGTGGAAACTCCCTGCAGGGGTTGTTTTTAGTTTTTCGTTCCGTAACCAAATCAAGGCTCGGCGCAAAGATTACACTCCCTATGTTTTGACTCTTTCAGTCAAAATATGTAGAAGCTCACTAAAAACGAGCTCCAAAGTAAACACGACTGAAAACTACTTTCCCGACGGCGTCGTATAACCTCGGTGTCATAAAGGCCACTTTTTCCTGGGTTCTTGCGTTTTTTTTTTGCAGCGGGAGATTTGCAGCCTCAGATAAAATAGAAAAAAGAAAGCACCCCTGGGCGAGCAAAGTGGTTACCAATTTAAACTAAGTAGATCCAGACGGCCCTTACAGGATTGGAAAGTAGAGAAAAGAGCATAAGCGTATTTTCCTAAAGAAAAACGCAAAAATATCGTTAGGAATTAAAGCAGTTCCCATCCGCTGATCCCACGGTATGTTTTAATGTTATTCAACCACTTTTGCCAACTCTCGGTGTCGGTCTTATTTGCCCACTCTGAGGACCAAAGCACCTGACACCCCGTCAACAACAATTAAAATCTTGCGTTTTTCCACCGCGACCAACCAAACCTCAACCTGTGAAATGGGGAGAAAAAGGAGTGAAAAATCCCGTTGTTTTCTCTCCCTAAGTATTCGTTGCTTTCATTTCCGGTCCGATTTGAAATAAAATGATTATCAGGAAAATGGGAAAGTTTTTCGCACGGTTTGCTTTTCGCTGGTTTTCGTCAACGGCAAGTAGCCATTCTGAATGGGAGCAAATTTCCTTTCCATTGTTCTTTCTTGATTTTATAGTTTTTCTTTCGTGTTGCAATGAGTAGGTACTAGCGAGCGACTAGCAGCAGCGAGACATTTCCAACGTGATTGTCTGAAGTGATTTCGCTTTTGTTTGGCTGACGACCAGTTTTACCCCGTTAGCCATTCTGGTTAGGAGTGTACTTTCGGTGCAGTTTTATGGTTATTTGTTCCGTTGCAATCGTAATTGAATGCTCGTGGCAAAGTGGTCAGAGAAGTTTTGCCGTTTTTTCAGATCGAATAAATGTCCGATAAAGTGCAGGAAGAAAAAAATGGGTTACTTTTATCGTTGGAATTGGCACGAAGAAAAGTATTGACAATTTTGATTTAATTGAGGAAAATTTGATTATAAATGCACGCAGAATTTCAGTCTGCTTACTTTTATACTTTTTCATCACTCTGCCAGAGAACCCCGGTTTAGTCACAAGCATAAAAGGAGCTGGAAAGTTAGGCATGAAGATGTTTGGCATAAAGATTTTTTTTTATTTGTTTTCCGTCGATCTTGTTTTTCATGATGAGCACCAATGCTACCGATGCCAGGGAGGCAGCCCTACCTATCGACCCATCAACTCATGAACCGGGGACCAGCGGATTTTCTTCCCGAAGGAAGGCGTGATCAGAGATATTATGCCTCAGAACATCCCGACGGCGCCGATTGGGATTGAACCCAGGCCTGCTGGGGTGAGAGATAATCACCCTTACCGCTACACCACCGGCACCGCTTTACATATAGATGGTTGACCGGTGGTTGGCCATGATTTTTGTGTCCTATTCAACGCCCGAGAAACACCAATGTTGCCTGCTGAGCAGTTGATTGAGCATGATCATAAGACATCAGCAAATTGAACCATTGATAACTTTCGATCCTTGCATTTAATCAAAAAGTGGTCTTGAGCAAAGTTGTAGCTTGGAAAATTTCCTACAAGTACAGTTGAAAGGTTTAGAAGCAGACCGATATGGTGAATTATTAGATAGACATGAACAAAAATCTTGGTTTTACCATAGTAATTCCCATACAAACTTCAAATGGTTTGTGCCATCTCAGTTTCGCACCAAATGGGTTCAAATTTTAAGAGGTTAGTCAGGAACCGATTTGGAATCGTTTAAGTATTGTAGAGCGAAAATTTCAAATTTTGCATCACTCTAATCTACAGTTATGGGCTTCCTCATATAAAATAAGGCTCAGTGTGGTGAATGAGTTCTTAAAAAATATTGAATAAGTGGCTTTCCGATACACTTCCGAAAGATCCACGAACCCTTCTTAAAACAACGCAGACAGTTTCACTAAATCCGGTAGGAGATGGCCACTATTGGCATCACGGCTTTAACCCTTTTATTGAAAAAGCTTTTAGTGGATCCAATGAGCATTTCTTGCATCCTGATTTGTTTCGTTTTGATTCGCTGTACCTAATTAAACCAGCTAGATAGCTATAGAGCTTAAATAGAACTTAACGCTCTCATGTTGGACTAGGAAATGCTAAGATACAACCAACCTCCAGCATTCCGGGGCATAAAGCCCTCAGATGGTGGAACGAGGAAACGAAGAAGGCAGTTAAGGCCCGACAAAAAGCCCTTCGACGAGTCAAACGGCTTCCCATAAATGATCGGGATAGGGAAAACGCGCTCTGTATCTATCGAGAACGGCACAACCAGTGTAGCCAAATTGGTCCGAGATGCCAGACGATTCAGTTTGACGGACTTCCTCGAAAGCATAAATGCCTCACACTTCGGCGGAACTCTGAGGTAAGGTCAACGCCCTCAGTGGCAAGCACCATACGGCTTCACTGCATATACAGGTAGACGGCGCTGCAGTCTCCGACCCCGGAATCGTTGCAGATAAGCTTGGCGACTATTTCGCTGACCTCTCTGCGATTTCCAAGTACGAGGCGACCTTTCAACGGCTAGCAAGCTTGTTGGTTTTCGGACCAACGGTACTGCAAGGGTTATTTCCAAAATAATAATCACCGCAATGAAACACAGAATGTGGGTGTTGTTAAACGGTTGATTATTATTTTGGAAATAACCCTTGCAGTACCGTTGGTCCGAAAACCAACATCTTATAATTTTCGTTTAGTCCCTTACTTTCAGTCCCTGTCTAGTCGGATAGTGTATTTTCGCTGGAGTCGCGTGATTGTGCAGTTTAGCAGATAAGTTTAGGTTAGGCTCGAAATAGGTGGGAACGACGCAATGCAATGCTAGTATTACGTCAGCAAACACTAATCGTAAGCTCCTTTAGGTTAACACACTAATTTAATTTAAATATTAATAGTAACTTAGAGTAAGATTTCTCTGCACACTCTGTTTTTTGATATTGTGTTTTATGTTTTGTTGTTTTTCCTTATCCTACTCACCCTTTGACAGCCGTTGACGTTACCTGTCATGCCGCTTTCCGACCGTCTGTTGTATGTGTATGCGTGGTGCAAGGTTTATGCAACATCAGGTGCGCTGGCAGCGAGGGGCTCGCCAACAATCCCCCGGGTACGTCAACCCCCTGGTCGACTACATCTCGTCGCGTCTGATGTCCAATACGGCTAGCTTAACCACCGGTCGTTCGTATACACCAGTGGCGGTTCGAATTGTCGCCGATCTCACCTCTCCATCTCGTCCGGGGCGTGTCGCAATCACTCTTCCTTTGGGCCAACAGTTGCGAGGATGGTTAGGGTCCACTATGACGACTACGTCGCCGATTTTTACCGGTAGCATACTGGAAGCGTACCATTTAGTCCTACGCGTAATCTCCGGTAGGTACTCAGCTACCCAACGTCTCCAGAACTGGTTGGCGATGATTTGCGAAGCACGCCAACACTGACGCACTGCGGCACCGCTATCATCAAGTGTGGTGAGCGGTTTGGCTCCGTTTGAGCTTCCCAGAAGGATGTGATTGGGTGTGAGAGCTGGGGCGGCGTTGTCTTCGATCGGAACATGCGTAAGTGGTCTCGAGTTCAGTGTGTTCTCGATCTCGGCTAATGCGTTGCGCAATACTTCGTCCGATGGACGTCGAGGCAAGTTTAGAGACTTGAGGCTGGTCTTCACACTGCGGATCAGGCGCTCCCAGCTCCCACCCATGTGTGGTGACGATGGTGGATTAAAGGACCAGGTAGTTTCGGAGCTGACGAACTCCTTCATCATTGCTTCATGATCGAGCTCTCGTACCACCCGACCTAGCTCATTGTTTGCGCCCACAAAGTTGGTTCCACGGTCGCAGTATATGTAGCGTGGAACTCCGCGACGGGCAATCAGATTGCGGATGGCCATCACGCATGAATCTGTACTGAGAGAGTGTGCGACTTCAATGTACACTGCTCGCGTGGTCATGCAAGTGGCTAGCATTCCCCACCGTTTTTCAACCCTCCTGCCAACAGTGACCTCCATGGGACCGAAGTAGTCGATTCCTACGTGGGTGAATGGTCGAGAATGCGCTGCTAATCTTGCCTCAGGGAGGTCAGCCATAATCGGAGGATTCGGCACAGCTCGATCGTTTTTACAACGCTGGCAGTTTCTTCTGACCTTGGCACAGCAAACGCGGATTCGTGGAATGGAGTACTTCTGTCTCAGCTCGTTGACTACGGTTTCTTGGTTGAGGTGGTGGTATTTGACATGATAGTGGGTGATGATCAATGTGGTCACGTGGTGGTCACGGGGTAAAATTATCGGGTTCTTCGCTTCGTCGGTGATGAAGCGGCAGCAAGATGTGCGTCCGCGCATACGCAAGATCCCGCTATCGTCGATGAACGGAGATGATTTGAACAGCGGGCTGCTTCGTGGTAACGGCTTTCCTTGAAATATGGCAGCAATCTCCTCAGCGAAAGTATCCTGTTGGGCTTGGCGTATAACACTCTCTTCAGCTGCACGTATCTCCTCCATATACAGTGGACCAGTGCGACTAGGTTGATGCATGATCCTACGGCGACAGTTGGTCAGGAAGCGGAAGAGGAGTCCGACTACGTTGACTAGATGTTTCCAGCTGGAATAATCGGTAACGCATAGCGCCGGTGACGATGTCGAGACGTGTGCGACTAGATGGGATCGCAGTTCTTCTTGCGTTGACTTGTTCACATTCGTTTGCTGTGGCCAGTCAGCTTCACTCCGCCAGAGAAATTTGGGACCGTTGAACCACCTGCTACCAACACTCAAGTCCGGTCGCCCCTGCCACTTCGTGGCGTCGTCTGCAACATTTTCTTTCGTTGGTACCCAGCGCCACTCAGTTGCTTCCGTAGTATCGAGGAGCTCACTAACTCGGTGCGCCACGAACGGTGTGAACCTACGGTGGTCCGAGTTGATCCAACACAGTACATCTCGGGAATCGGTCCACCAGCAGCGTCGTGCTACTCTGATGGTCAAGGATTCTGCGATGGTTTGTGCTAGCCTTGCACCGAGAACTGCGGCTTGCAGCTCCAGCCTGGGGATCGACTGAAATTTCAAAGGAGCGACTCGGGATTTTGCTGCCACGAGAGTACATTCCACCTCTTTGCCGTCGGAGAATCGAAGATACGAAACGGCAGCGAATCCATTTTCACTGGCGTCGACAAACGTATGCAGCTCTGTTACGCGATCGGAGAACTCCTGAGCGTGATAACATCGAGGTATTTGTACGCTTTCGACTTCAGGTAGCACACGCAACCAGGTGTGCCACTTCAAAAACAATTCGTCGTTAATCTCCTCATCCCATTGGGCTCCTGAGCGCCATATTTCCTGCAGTATGACCTTCAGGTAGATGAGAAAGTGAGCAATCAAACCAAGAGGATCGAAGATTGACATGAGTACCCTCAGTACTTCGCGCTTCGTGGGACGTCGTTGTCCTTCCAGCAGCGCTTTGTCGTAGCGAGTCCATCCTACCTTGAACGTGAACGTATCCTTATCAGTGCACCACCACAATCCTAGCACTTTTTCCGTAGCCACTTCTGCCGTCAGGTCCAGATTCTTTACCTTCGCGTCATCTTCTCCCAGTGACTTCAGAACCGCAGGGGAATTACATATCCAGTTGCGGATCTCGAATCCGCCTTGGGAGTGGACGTACTTGACTTGGTTGGCTAAATGAACAGCTTCCTTTTCCGTGCTTACACTCACCAGCATGTCATCCACGTAGTGCCGTTTGATGATGGCGTCGACTGCTTGTGGATACTTCCCAACAAACCGCTCCGCATTCAGATTCTTAACGAACTGTGCGCTGCTGGGTGAGCAGCACGCACCGAAGGTCATGACGCACATTTCGAACACGACGACTTTCCCAGATTCGTCTGTCCAAAAGAACCGTTGACATGGCCAATCCTGTTCCCGGATCTTCACCTGGTGGAACATCTCGCGTAAATCACCGGTTAGCCCTATCGAGTGTTCTCGAAATTGCAGGAGAATGAAGCAGAGCGAGCACAATTGGTCAGGGCCCTTCATCAGAGCGGAATTCAGTGATACTCCGAAGATCTTTGCAGCTGCATCCCACACTATTCGCACTTTCCCGGGCTTGTTCGGATTAAACACCGGAAATACCGGTAGGTACCAGGCACGTGAAACAGGTCGATCTTCTTCTTCCTTGGTCAGCTGTCGTATGTATCCTTTCGAAAGATATTCTGCAATTTTCTGGTTCAGGGCTTTGGCCAGATCGGGATCCTTCCTCATGCGCTTCTCCAGCAAGCTATGCCGGCGTAATGCCATTGGCCGACTGTCGGGTAGACGGATGTCGTCGTAACGCCAAAGTAATCCTGTTTCGTACCGGTCACCTTTGAGACTGGTTAGCGATTCCAGCATTCTACAGCTTCGTTGATCCTCGGAGGACAGCAGCGCTTCACTCGATTTCATCACACCAAGACTGTCGAGGGTGAAATATTCCTTCATGGCTTGGTGCAGATCTTCGTCCGAATGGTCGTCACGTGACCCCACGTGAAACGAGTAGTGTACCATGTTCGGCGCATTTTCGCCGTCGCTTCCACCACACACGGTCCACCCCAATCGCGTCTTGATGGCAATTGGTTGTTCCTGCTTTCCTTCTCGGCTCCGCAGTACGAGACTAACGTTTGCGTGCTTCAGGCCGATCAGAATTCGTGGTCGGGCGTCTTCGTATGACTCGATGGGTAGGCCACGCAGATACGGATACTGTTCCTTCATGCTTCCTGCGTCTAGGGATTGCCGTGGCAACTGAATGCGCTCACCTGCTGCATGGCAAAGGTCTTCGATCGGATGGTCAACCGACGACTGAAGCAGTTTCTCGAGTCTGACGGCTTTCTAGACCATCGCCAACACGCATTCCGGCAAGGCCACGGTACATCTACGTATTTTGCGACGCTAGGAGAGCTCCTCAAGGATGCCAAGGGTAATGGCCTTCATACGGAGTTGATTTCCCTGGACATTGCGAAAGCCTTCAACCGTACATGGACGCCCGCGGTACTGAAGCAACTCGTCAGCTGGGGCCTCGGTAAGTAATACCAAATCCCGCACTTTCTGCGAGGAAACCGGCGTTCCCCAAGGTTCTGTGATCGCTGTCACTTTGTTCCTGGTAGCCATGAACAGTGTCTTCGAGTGGTTATCAGCGAACATCTACATTTTCGTGTACGCAGATGACGTGCTAATCGTAGCCACAGGTCAAACTCCGGGACGAACGAGGATTAGTGCCCACGCAGGGGTTTCCGCCGTAGCCAGATGGGCCACTTCGAAAGGTTTTCAGCTGTCTGCTGGAAAGAGCGCTAGGTGCCACGTTTGCCAGTACCGACATCGGGTCTATGGACCTCACATAAAGATCGGTAATCAAGCTATCCCATTGAAGAAAACTGTGAAACTGCTGGGGGTTGTCATTGATCGGTCGCTGAGTTTTGACCAGCACCTTCAAGGGGTCAAGGTCAGCTGTCGAAGCAGGATCAACCTCATCTGCACAATCTCCCGTCCCCACTGGTCCAACAACAGAGAAGTACCTTTCCGTGTTGCCCGGGCCATCGTAGACAGCCGGCTGATGTATGGACTGAAGCTGACCTGCATCGCTACCGAAAAGGCAATACAAATACTCGCTCCGGTGTCTAATAGCTACACGCGCATCATTTCCGATCTCCTACCCTCGACGCCAGCCGATGCCAGTTGTGTCAAAGCCGGCACTCTCCCTTTCCGGTACCGCATCTACGCAGCCATTGCCAACAAAGCCGCTGCATTTTCAGCAAATACCGTCAGAATCTGCCTTCTCAGCGAGGGGGACAGAGTTCTCCGTACAATCGCCAACGCAGAGCTTCCCCCAGTGGTCAAGTTTCACTGGTACGGAGATAAGAGTTGGCGATCTCCCGCACCAAACATTGACAGCCGGATAAAGGAGAAGTTCAGAGCCGGGGACAATTCCGTAGCCCTTAGGAGATCGGTAGCAGAGCTGACCGGATTGTACCCAAACTACGTGCATCGTTACACGGACGGGTCAAGATCTAGAGCTGGAGTCGGAATGGGAATCGATGGTGACATTTCCCTAACGAGTAGAAGTCTGCCAAAACAATGTTCGGTGTTCTCGGCAGAAGCAGCGACTATTCTTCATGCCGTCAGGGTTCCTGCGGATCGCCCAATCCTGATCCTGTCGGACTCCCACAGTGTTATTTAGGCTCTTTCGTCAGAGGTCCCGGTCCACCCCTGGATCCAGGACATCTTGAAGGTTGTGCCACCAAACACTACATACGCATGGATTCCCGGATACTGCGGGATCCCAGGGAACATCGAGGCGGACAGTCTAGCCGGGTCAGGCCCATTGGGTCCTCGGTACTCGCACAAGGTACCGTTGCAGGACGTGAAGAGATGGATCACTTGCACAGTGCGGACAGCGTGGGCAACGGAATGCTCCAGTGCCAGACTTCCGTTTATTAGAAAAATTAAAGGTGACATCGGAAAGTGGACGGACCTTGCAAACCTGCGAGATCAGAGATTTTTTTCCAGACTCCGGACAGGACACTCCCTAATCTCACAAGATTTCAGCGGAGGACCCTTCAAGAGGACCTGTGAATTCTGCCATATTCCTTCGACGGTGGAGCACGTGTTATGCGTATGTCCACAATTCGAGCACCTTCGTTGCCTCCACGGTCTGCCTGCCAGTGTACGGGACACGCTAGCAGACGTGCCCTCAACTGAAGCAGCTGTAATGAGCTTTTTGAAGGCGGCGAAGCTAAACTGCAGGATTTAGCACCATCGATTCTTTCGGCCGTCTGGACATCCCCCCACTGGATGGGGCCCCCAAGGACCTCCTACAGTGGAACTACGTTTTGTTATTGGCTTTGTTTTGTTCATTTTATATTTTGTTCTTCCTTTTTGTATCCTTTTCGTATGCTGTTTACTGTGTTATGGTACTAGCTATTTAAATGTTTTAGTTAAGTAGATTATCAAAGGTTGATGTAGCATGATACTCAAGCAATGTGGCTGGGCGACCTCTTTCTAAGGCTTCCCACCCTTCACGGCCTACGGCTAAAAATCTCCTAAATAAAGGAGAAAGAAAAATTATGTTATGCTATAGAATTCCAATCTAGGAGAAAATGTTATATTGAGGTAATTTCAAGGAGCAACAAATTATAACGAAAAAAATGTCACCGTATGAAACAATTTCACACAGTATGAATAATTACGTTTTAATTGATAGGCAATAAAACACTTTCATACGTGCATATAATTAAATAATATGTGCCTGTCTTTTGTTCAACAGTAGTAAAAGTTTTGTACTAAGTAGGTAATATTTTAATGATTCTTTAATGTATGTTGCTAATCTAGACGGTAATTAAAAATATCCCTATATTGTTTTTGATTTGTTCAAAATTGTAATAAAGTCGTCTTATTTTCAATATACAATAATATCAGCTATTATTACAAACTGACAAGGATCATAATTTCACATCAAACATCGAAAGAATAAAACCACAATAAAACATTTCTCAATTTTAACTATCATCCAAAAAACCCAACTTAAAACCTTCAAGGTTGTCAACATGTTTGGCGTATCATATTGTATTTGCTTCTTCAGGAGCGATTTATGCGGTTATATTATAGTTTTATGGTAGTCATTAAAAGGTTGTTAAAACTTTCGGACCATGAGTAGGTTTTATGCTTTCATTTTTTAAAAACCACGTATAGAGTGTGATCAAACTGACATAAAACCTATGCTCCAAAGTTAATTCGCATATCAAGTTTTAATGATTGCATTAAAACTGGGCCAATTGGCCATGACATTGCTTAATAGCGGTTGCCAGGAGGTTGTTAAAGTAATGTGGTCGTCAGTGAAGGTTTTATAATTTGGTGATATCAACTGCTATAAAACTTCAATAAAACAAAAATTGTTGCTTGGGTTGTATCATACCCAAGCACAAAATTTTGTTGTATTGAAGTTTTATAGTAGTTGATATCACCAAATTATAAAACCTTCACTGACGACCACATTACTTTTACAACCTCCTGATGACCGTTATATAGCCATTTTATGACCAATTGGTCTAGTTGTAATGCAACCTTTAAAACTTGATGTGCGAACCAGCTTAAACACCAGCTTGAAGACCAAATGCATAAATCGCTCCTGAAAAAGTTGATTTAACTGTATATGCAAACCATTTTGATAACTTTGATGGTTTTAATTTGGATTTATTTGGTTGATGGGTTGCATTGATTAATATCAATGTGTAAAAACATATATTCCAGCATATTGAAAATAAGACGATTATATTGATTGCATAAAGTAAATGAAAGTTAATTACCCTCAATAATATTCCCGACAATTTATTAGTCGAACGCCTTTAATCACTGCAATCATCGGTTTGATTGTAAGCAAAACAAAAGAGGAAACAACTTTCAATTCAAATAAGTTTTCCAAATTAATTTGCACTATTATTATCTAACATAAATATTTCTATTCCGCAGCATGTCCTTCAAAATTGTTCAAACCTTCGAAGACGGCGAGCAGTGTCTCAGTGTTGTCCCTTCGGCCTGGGAGAAAGACAATAACCTATGTTGGCCACAGGCAACAAGTGCTGCCAAATTGCTGCGTGATGAACATCCGCGAATGTAGAATGATAGTTGTATTGAGGTTATCAATTTGTTGAAAATTAATCATAAACGTCATTATCAATTGTATTATATGGTAAAATCCTCTTTAAACGTGTTCTATCATTACAAAAGCAACCATTGAATTCGCTGTCTTGAAATGTTTCCGTAGATATTCCTTGGAAAGGACCCAACAAGTTTCGATTGACCGGGCCTCCGGACAATTCGGTGGATTTATCTCTTTTAGCACGTATTGCACATTGTTTGCTTTGCGCAGACGCCGATTCCAACACTCCTTCGTCACATATGACTTTGACAACTAGCCACGCTCACATATCGCTTGCCAAACCATGGCCTTCTTATCAAGTTTCTCGGTAAAAATTGACTTGTCGGCATCTTTAACTTCCCGCCCATCACGAACTGTGTATGTAAGAAAAAAGTACCCAAAATTGAGTTCCTTTCACTCATCACGTGGCTTCCGTGGGGCTAGGTAAAATTAAGTTAAAGAAGAAAACTCAATTTTGAGTAATCCTGATCATGAATCCACGTTGACCAAGTGGACAAAAAAATAATAAAACGGAGCAGACTGGAACCGAAACATGGACGTTGAGATTACGGGGCCCGTGTGTTGACCACGCTTTTGAAAATGAAATGGTTAAAGGCGCATAAGAGCAACCTCAATGAAAATAAACTTATATTTGAGTTCATTTATTATTACTCAATAGTTGAGTAAATTTTAACCAACGCCGCTTTTCTGATTTACTCAACGGCGGACCTCAAATGATAGAACCCAACGTTGAGTTTTTTTTTAACTTAATTTTGAGTATTTTTTCTTGCTGTGAGTGTTGTTTCTGACTCCGTTTCGGCTTCTTCTGCTTCTTGAACGTTTTCAGCCCGTTTCTTGCCTTGGCACGTTGGATGTTCGCAGTTTTTTGGCCAAATCGCAAACAGAGGCACTTTTCTTTTTGAAGAAAGCTTGGTGATATAATGAGAGAGAGAAGGATTAGTACTTTCCATTTAATTCCACTACTTTATTAAATGAAATGGAAAATACTAATCCTTCTCTCTCTCATTATACAGGTATTCCACTAAGACGCCCACATTCATTAGGAGCTTGGTGATGTTCTGGTCCACTTTTCGGTCCACCGGTTACGGTTTACAGCCAGATTTCGATGTGTTCTTGAAGGTAACTTCTTAGACGGCTACGATACTCACTTCTTTCATTTTCACCAACTTCCTTACTGATAGGTTGGAAATAGTGCACCATTTGTGCACGATCTGTTTACGCATTTCCGGGGAAATGCCTTGCATTTTGATGATATTGTAAAAAAAAAACACTGCGCACACAAACTTGTTCAGCATTAAGTAAACAACAACACACATCGATGAACAGCTGATAAACTTCATTGGGGTAGAAGTGACAAGATGAAAGTGTGCTTAGACACCCTATAAAGCTTAAAACTACAGCCAATAAGTCTAATATGAAGAGTACCTCATCTTTCGTGATCAAATATGAAATTTCTTCCATCAGAACGGGATTCTCTTCCAGTGGTTTCTCAAATATGGTGATCGCCAAAGGGATCATAGCGCTTCCATTGGAGAAATGAACGCAAATCGGTATCTTCACACGCATAGAGAAATGTTTGCTTTCCAGGTCAACACCAATAGGATCGATCGAACCAACTACAGATGATAAAAAAAACACACCAAACAATAGCTGCTATCGAGTACACAGACGATCGCGTGATACACATCGAGAGGAACTACTGGTTGCTGTCGGCTGTTGCCAGCAACAGCTGCCATCAAACTCAGGGCAGATACTTATTGGTTACTTGAACAAACATTGTTCCATAGCTATTGTTATTGAATGAAAAATTAGAGTGCAGTCAATTCTCCACAACTCGATATCTTCTAACTTGATATCGAGTTATAGAACCATAGTTAACATGAATATCATGGCTACTGCGATAATGATTTCCTATGGGATTTTCGTTGTATAACTCGATGGTCCCTTCAATATCGAGTTGTAGAGAGTTCACTGTATATATATATCAATTAAGCACAATGTATTGTAAACGTTTGAAAAGATTAAATAACACGTTATTAAGTAAATCTTCAGCGTTCACATGAATGCTAATTAATGATCAGCAACTAAGTAGTTCCAGCTAAACCTTATGCTTCCGGCTGTGGCAATGCAATTCCCGAGCATTCCGTAAACTGGGCGACCAAATCGCGTCCATTTTCGGTGTGCTCGTTGATGGCAGCAGTTAAACGGGCCAACTCGATGGCAACGCTCAGACGCCAGGCATTTTCGCACGTTGCAATCGCAATCTCCTGCAGTCGGGTCGGTGGGTCATCAAGGGGCAGCTCCTGACAGCGACGATGCCGTTCGATCAAATATGCAAATGTTTGGCGAGCGTCGGAAATCACTCCTGCCAGCTCTGCAATGTTAGCGCTCTCGAGTGAGTCAAGTATCTCCTGTTCGGTGCAAATAAAGAAGGGGATCTCAACTTATAGTTTGTTCTGTGGGAAACTCCCAGGCTTGGTCTAGAATGTTTCATTACTCACATTGAGGCACTCGCTTACGACACTGGGCTCGTTGTGCTGGAAAACATGAAATTGTGTTTCTCACTTTTAAATTTTTAATCCGATAGCAGGGTAAATTTGTCTCTGCTTTCCGTCGCAACGATTCAACCTAGGGAAAAACTATACACACCGTCTACGGTACATGTTTGGTGAAAAAGGTGAAAACATGGAAAAAGGGGGGAAAATGAACATCGACTAGCTGCTCGATGTGGATGCTTGTTGCAACTACAGATTTTCACACACCTCGAACTACGGCGGGAGACACAGTGTTCATTTAACACCCGGTCGCTTCTCTTTCTCTGGTGGAAATATAATTTCATTAAATTTTCACAAAAAAACGAAAACGAGAACATGGAGGGTGGAAAATTCAGGGCATTTTTATGGGTGAACCTTCTTCTGTAGGGCTCTGATGGTTTTGTTTCTTCCCCATCGTTATAGGTTGAATCGTGACTGGATGGGCAGAGAAGTAGATGGATGGGAATTTACACACCTGCGTGGGAGTGGCGATGATCGCTCCAACTAGAGCAAATACAACCAAAAGCTTATGCATGGCGGAATGCCTTTTTCCTGTGGCTAGACGATTTTAATGAAGAAATCAAAACCCAAACAACTTTCCGCGTATTTGTATACTCTAGGCACGGCGCTGTTCGATGGCGTTGACTTACGAACTGCTACTACTGGATGTCAATCATCAGCGGCTGGCTTTTTATTGTAGGCGCTTGGATTAGTGTTGACCACGCTACTATACCCCTTAGAGTTATCCTATACTGCCGCTCGTTATTGGACGATTGGAGACCAGCCTTATCGTTTGTTGTGCCTTCTGTTCGCTTTCGTGATGATTAGTGCTATCTGATGGCATAGTCAGTCATTTTGGTGGATACTGGTTAGAATGCTTCGCTCGTAAATATCGTTATTAGATTTGATTACCATAAACATGATTGGAAGGGATTGATTATTGACGCAAGAGTTTCGGTCAAATGCAGTAGATTATTTCTACGTATGCGTGGAACATAATCAGGATGTTATCGTTATCGTTGAAAGTGTATTTATTGAGTGGAATTTCACATTGTAAATCGACGTCAAGCGAGTGAAAACATGTGTTGGATACTTTCCTTATCTACACGTGCAGATACTTTTCTTATCTACACAGCTGTTTGAAGTTCCTTATCGCAAGTTTGATCCATGGTCCGGAGCATCCGCAGTTATGTTTTCATAAAGTTAAGGTCAGCGATCTTTTTTTTTATCGAAAACACTTTTAGCTAAAATATAAGAAGGATGTTGTGGTTATGACCAAATAATTGACAGTAGTTAACAATTTTAGGCAAACAAGAAAATCGGTGTTCTCACTATTCTTTTTTTTTTTTTATTCGTTTTCCGTCGATCTTGTTTTCCGTGCAGAGCACCAATGGTACCGACGCCAGGGAGGTAGCTCCCACACCTGAACCCTACCAATCGACCCATCATCGCATGAACCGGGGACCAACGGATTTACTTTAGACCTGTGCGCCGGATTTACTTTAGACGGTGTGACGGCGTGGGTCGACGTGAGTTTATTTTTAATGATTTAGAAAAAAAAAAACTTTCCAAACCAATCGCACATGGACAAAAAAAGTTACGCACATTTGAGTTCAGATTACTCAAAATCGCTAAAACATAGGTCACTCATAGTTTGAGTAAATTTTCCGATACTTTGCTGGGAAAAACTTCTCGAATATGTAAAAAATAAATAAAAATTGTACACAAGTTAGAAGTGAGCTTCACGGGAAAAAACCGATTCCATTTTCATGAATAAAACATAATAATAGAAAAAACTTGCCATCCCATGGAATCATAACAATGATTCATGATTTCGTGATGGAGATTCATGATTTCATAATGCAGCGGAATCATGACCGATACAAGCGTTACCTGACAAACCGTGTTCACCGCACTTCATAAGGCCTGTACTCGAAAAAAAAAATGCACCAGACAAAAGTGTTCGTCAAAAATTTATTTTAAGTCGGATTTTCTTGAAACTTTCAGGGAATGAACTTATACATATGGATTATGTTTTGGCATAATTAATTTATTCAATTTCCTTTCCATCGCTGAAAGCCCGCACCTTTCCCTTAAGACCCCTCATTACATTTTGTGCAATGGTGGAGCCGACCTTATTTGTCACTTTCATCCATTCTTTCTTCAACTCCAGCTCGTTCTTTAACACCTTGGATGATTTTCGAACTTTGGCCTTCATTACGGCCCAAAATCTTTCCACCGGACAAATCTCTGGTGAATTTGGGGGGTTGGCGGTTTTTAGCGTTAGCGTTAGCGTTGTTATGATATACTTCGTAGATTGGATACTAGCGACAGTCACGTCTCTTCTGAAATTCTCAGTTAGACTACTTTCAGGAATAATGCTGGGGAGTAAACATTGGTTCCAATCTAAACAAGAGTAACAGAAGCATGACTGTCGCTATTCCCGGCCACGCCCATCTTTACCATAACTAGAGATAGGGAAGGAAATGTTGATGTAGTACTTACTTAACGAGAAGCCACCGACTTAGCAACACCCTCATACGTGCTACGGAGTTGGAGGGTTGGGTAGGGTATTCGGTTAGGATTCACCTCAAGTTGGCGATGCAACCAAAAGAATGTATTGTTTATTTGTTGTTTATTTAATCTCTCGATAGCCGGCTATCGAAAGAACATATTCCTTTTGTTTAGTGATCATGAATTTTAAAAGTCATGACGGAGAGCTTGGGATTAAACCCATGATTTTCTGCTCAGTAAGCAAAAACGATCCCTCCAGGGTCATCGAGCATCTCAGAACCATAACGCTTCGCGACAATACAGGACTACGTTTTCACTTGATATGCAAATAGTTTCCGAGGTTAATGTTCAATATCAAATATACAAATGATGGTGGCGATTTATTGTGCTGTGGAAGAGCTTGGGGTTAAATCCATGATTTTCTGCTCAGTAAGCAAAATCGATCCCTCGAGCATCTCATAATCCACAGCGCTTCGCGTCAAATTATGAATATATGGATGAACTATCTATTATTGGATTTACGATAATTACATGAAAGAAATAAAATACAAACTACAAACAAAACGTGACAACTAAAATCTCAAAAAGATATTCTCACAAATATATTTCACGAAACCAGGAATCTCAAAATCATTAGACGCTATAATGATACTCTGCACATGTTAGGCACAATAATAGGCCAAAACGCAAGCGTCCGACACACAAAACCCACCATATCCACTTGCAGTCACAATCAACGATTCTACGAATCGCGAGCGTTCACGAATCATAAAACCGGTGACTGCGAAACTCTGAAAGCAAAATTGACAGGCCCTCGCAAAATTGACAGACACTCGCCCTCCAATCTCATCCCGCATCCAACAACACAAATCTCCATTACAACATCTACCGAATTCAAAACTCCGAAAATCACTCATCTATAGCAAGTGAGTGGAAGCAACCCTGCATACAACCCGAGATGCAACCATTCTTCATGATACACTTTTTCTGCGTATCTTTCTATTAGGCCTGTGGACATGCGTTTGCTTCGAAACTTCTAATCATACTGGAAAAAAATTTCAGACAAAAAAAATCTTTCAATATTGATTATTGTACGCAAAAACGAGCAAGTAATATTAAATCTATTATTGACTGTAACAAAAATTATATGCTTTAATAAAATTACAAGCAAAATTTACTAGAAGATCATTACTTTATTGGTGAGAAGTTTCTAATAAGCCCTCCCAGTTCCTCTGTATACAGAACAAATCTGATACTATAATCAGAATTGCTCAGTCTGCATGAAACAGCCGATTTCATCAAAGAAGTTCTATTAACAACCAAGAATTAATCGTTTGAGGCATTAAGCATTAAGCATTAAGAAGGTGATATGTGCCACTATAGGAAATCATCATCGTTACAAATATAAAGAAATTAAACATAACCCTTTGCTTCAGTACTCTCAACCTCCATGTCCATGGGGTGGGAATTTGGGGGGTTGGCGGTTTTTGGTACAAAAACAACGTTATTGTCTCTGTACCAATCCAACGTCGATTGCGCGTAATGGCTAAAATAATGTCTCGCCTCTGTGGGACCGCAGGAAGGGCAACAGACGCTTCTGGAGGCACTCGGTGCGGTAAATTTCTCTGTTGATGGTACCCATTGTGATGTACGGTTTACTCCGTTTACCGCATTGGCATATGGCCTGCCAGAGCAAGTATTTTTGGCGAATTTGTCCACTTTCTTCTTCCTTATGTCTTCCGGAACATCAAACCGTGATTTGGCAACGTATAACTCTAGCCCCGGTATCTGATTTGCGTCTGCCTTGATGTAGGTTTCGTCATCCATAACCACACACATCGGTTTCGTTAACCACTCTCGATACAGCTTCCTTGCGCGGGATTTGGCCGCCGTGTTTTGTTGATCACGCAGGTTCGGTGCCTTCTGGACCTTGAATACACAAAGCCCAGCTCGTTTCGTGGTTTGCTGAACGAACCAGGTGGAACACCTTGCCTTCAGAGCCGCGTCGCGAATCGAAAGGTTCGGATTACGCTTGAAATAATCCAACACCTTCCGGGCCTTCACAGGGTCAGCTATTTTTGATTTTCTTCCACTTCCAGCCCACCGCTCGGTCGTCTGGGACTCCTTAAACGATTTTACCATGCGAGACACAGTTGTGTCAGTGTTCACTCGGCTGTCGACAAAAGCAGACCACTTTCGATGTGTGCTACGCGATCGTCTGTTTTCTCGGCAGCAACCATTGTGTGGTCCTCCTCATTGTTCTTCATCAGCAGTTCTTTCGGTCGATGCGTCGTCGACTTTGGAAAGCAACCATTTCGTGATGAGTGTGTGAGTGCTGACCACGTTTTGCGTCCATTGCTGCAATGGACGCGCTCTGACCCTCGTTGGCGTACAACAATTTGCCATACAATGAAACTACTGGAAGCGGCTCCAGTTCTGATGGAGGAGGCTTTTTGGATAGCGGAAGATAAAGTGTTTATTGTGTTGTACCTTTTGACTATATTTTTAAGATGTATTGTATAGTGACCAAGAATCCTCGGCTCTGTAAAGTTAATTCGGTTGAGCCTTACCAAATAAATCAATAAACAAAAAAAAAAAAGACACAGTTGTATGGGTGATTCCCAGTTGTCTTCCGATCCATCTAATGGTCGCAGTTGGATTTTCCATGACGGCGCGCAAAATTCTCCGACGATTTTCTTCTTGTTTCGATGACATCTCAATAACCACTGAACCAACAATCAATACGAAACTAACGATTTTAAATTGGCTCACTACTTGACTAGCCTATTGGTCCCAAGCAAACGATTAACGTACCCCATTCTAGTCGAAATTCTAGTACTACGCAATGTTTGTTTTGATTCGATATGAAAGTTTGACAAATAAAATGAGAGGTTATTGGTTTTTCTTATGTTTCGAGGGGTGAATCGATTAGCTTTGGACCGAAGAGAGTACCAGAGCTGAGCCAAAAAGTTGAGCACGCTATTTCGGGAGCTTCTAGTCTTAGAGTTACCTCTATGACTGAACCGATTGTTATGAAATTTTGCACATGTAAACAATTCACTCCAAACTAGCTTTACCCAGATTTTCATCAATTTTTACCCACGAATAAAAAAGTTACACACGGATAAAAATGGTGCTTTTTTTTCGAGTAAATACAAGCCTTAGGTATCT